AGCCATACTTGTTTGCGTAACCATATCGCGTTGATACTGTAGTAACTTGCGACGAAGCTCGGTCTCTTGTTTCGACAGGCTACTTGCATTGGGGATTGCGCTGGAATCGGATCCAACGTTGGAAGACACGCTTCCAGACAAGGGAGGACGCAGATTTGATTGGGCGCCATTTCTACTTTCGTAGTTGGATGGGTAGTATTTGCCCATGGGGACAGGGTGGTCATGGAAGCCTGGAGCAAGGTAGGAGGCGACGGGAGTGTTTGAGTGAGACATGACTGCACTTTGAGCTGGATGAGAAGTGGGAGAGTCCGCGTAGATTGGTCCAGATTCAGAGATGAGACGACTCATGCGAGTGTCGGGATGATGCTGGAAAGGGTGTGGCCGATGGACACGACTGTTGGGATCCTCGTGAAGTGGGAAGTAACCTCTGCAACGGTGTTAGCCCACGTGGATGGTAAAGATGAATGGAACGGAATTGTATCGAGAGAGCACGAGAAATGGATGTCTTACCCAGGAAGGTCACCTCTTGCAGATAAGGGTTCGGGAGGCGTGCGTGCGGGAGCGGAAGTGAAACGTCTGATTTGAGGTAGATCGATAGCTATAGGTCGAACGTGGCTGCGGCTGCGCGGGGTTGAGGGAGCTGATGGAGCTGATGGAGTGCCAGGAGCAGACCTCTCGTTGTCGTCTAATAAAGAGGGAACATGTAAGTACAAAAAGGAAGTCCAGTAGGAAGAATAAGGTTTGCGATGTCCAAATGCGTGGTGACGAAGGGAGGGTCGATGACAACAAGATCGAAAACAGGATAATTGAGGAATAGCATAGGATATAAGAACATTTTAAAGCAAAAGCCGGTAGTGCGCTTCAGGGCCAGTCCAGGCGTCACTCAACGGCCAACCCCGGGATGGTTGATGGGGGCCGCTAGACTACCCCGCGATGGCTGGGAAGTGAGTGTGGGGAGAGCAGCGAGTAGCGCGATAAAGCATGGCCATCATCCCAGTGCAAGAGACATTTTGACTCGGAAATGATTGAGAAGAGGTGGAGAAGGGGCAGATGATTTGAGGGGAAAAGGAAAAGATGAGCGAAATAAAGTGAGGAGAATTGTGGAAATCGAGGAGCGTGACAAGTCGAGCAGATCATCAAAGGCCAACGACTCAAGAGACGGATGTTGAAGATGGACAAGCTCGAGAAGCCAATATGGCATTCTCGAAAACGGGGGGTGCGGGAGCCTCCCGAGACCTCAATCCCGCCCCGCGCGCTTTGCGCCAGTCAATCGCCGGGTGCATCATTGGTTAGAATGCTCCAATAGACAACTTGAGTAGCGTTGATAGGCACAACTATTGATGCATTGCGCTGGTGGGACAGGGACAGCGGCGTGGAGGCGGCTCTTACATGATTCGACCTCTTCAGAACAGGCACCCCTTTTCTTTACACAGCATCGCATCTATTCGTTGTACATTTCTGTTTTGTTTTTGGTGGTGTACAACCAGAGCTTATGCCATGTGTCAGGGTCCCTTGGGTTCGTAGAGGGGAATTTGTGGCGCCGAACCAAGTCTGAGCAGGAGAACGTGTCTCGCCTCGGAGCTTTTTGCACGATGCGATGCCAGCTGCCGGGTTGAGCACCGCCCGTCTCCGTCCGGGATCGTCGGCCGGAGGATAGCCCCGACGTCCGGCCGCAAGAAGGTTGAGATCACTCACTTGAGGCCAGGTGATGGAAGATCATCGAGAGGGAGGTGGGGATGGATGGGCAATCAGGGGTCAAACGACTGGATATTGGATATGCATTCCAAGCAATCCGTACAATGTTAATGCCAATGCTAACATACCTGAGAAGTAGGAAGTGCGAGGTTCAATGTCATCAAGGTCAAAGAATCCGTCTTGCAGTTCATTTGGTCTTTGGGGTGGAATCGCTGGGGTGTTTCGCCCAGACAGATCGAATTCGCCGATTATTTCACCTGATCGTGGGCTTTGAGGAGGGTTGGCTTGGTCGGAATTTGTAGACATGGAGCGGCCCGGCATGGAAGGTCGAATTCGGGGTGATAAGTAAGGAGATTTGATGGTTCTGGCAAAACTGGCCATATCGTTGTTGCAGTCGTGATTCAACGTCTGAGGTTTGAGTCTTTGGTCTCTTGGGGAACAGCTATTCGCCTGACTGAGAACCCAGCCCGAGTCTTGAATCAAGCGCCAACGTCGCTGCATAGGTAGGTATATATGGAGGATTGAGAAGAACCAGAAGATCGAGTGGATTGGAATGAATGAATGAATGCGCGCTCACGGGAGGGCGGCGGCAGTCGGGGGAGGTATGATGATTAACAATGAGGGGCAGGTCGTTTCGGTGTTGCAAATGGCGGGCGGCCAAGAGAAGATGATAAGAGTACAATAGAGTGACTTTTTCGAAGGTGAATGTATTGGACGGAATGCCACGGAGGACGGATAAAAAGAAGTGAGGCGGATGAATAAGGTAGGTAGCTGTAACACAAGAATGTGATGGCGGCGTCAAGATGTAATGTTAATAAAAGGCAAACACACAACACAACACAACATGACACTGCAGTGTAGCAGTGTATGTAAGCAAGCGCAACGCAACGCACCGCAGTACAGTACAGTACAGGACAGGAGAGTGCAGTAAGTGAGATGAGTAAAGTGTATGCCTATTTGGGCGAGAAATGAAGGGTTCCCTGAGAAATGAAGATCGAAGGGTTCCGAAACGGTTTTGTTATCGCAAGCGAGACACACTCACTTCACTCACTAGACACACTCTTTCATGGATGGATCCCAATGTCAGAATTGATCTTGCCTCTCCCGTTCCATCCTGATTCTTTCCAGCGCCTCCCAACCCCCGAAAAGTGGGAGTTCCAACAAATCAGCTCCCGAGTACTTCGAGCGAGGAACATCGGGACGTGAGCCAGAAGGCAGAGAAGCCCAAGATCCAGGGCAAGGCGAGGTTTAGTGGATCGCTTCCACCACATACGGTGACCCTCTGCAGCGGGTTTCCCAATGTTTCCGATGCTGGAACCCGCTACAAGGTACCCGTTCTGGAAATGCGACATGCAACCACGAGTTTGGCAGGTATCCCGCTAGGACTTTTGAGGCACACTCTGCTGGGGTGACCCTTGATTTGTACCTGGTTGCATGCGCCGTCACCGTACAGAATGCCAAGGAAATACATGCGGGACGACCCTGTGAGCCACTCAAAGGTCACCAACGCAAACAAAGAAACCAAGCACAGCGTTTGCTTTGGTTTGGTTTTTATTTCTTGCTGTGCCATCCCGCCTACGGCCAGACCAGGCCAGGCCAGACTCTGATGGTTTGCAGAGACGAATTAGAACTCGCGGTCAACGTCCTGGACGGCAGCAAACTAACGAATTAGTCCCTGAGATTTGCTGTAGGGACCCTTTGAAAACGAGACCCCTCCTTGGTTTGGGTTTGTTTTTGGTCAATGACGCCGTTTGAACGGTGTATTTATCCGACTCCGCGAATATTCTGATTTCCAAGTCTTGGAAGACAGTCACAGGCACTCTTTGTGGAGAGACAATTTTGCATGTATGCACGGAGTATGTACCGTATAGTATTATGTACATGCGAGGTCAATAATACGTGGGCAATATTATATTCAGGAACTTATGATCGCATTTGCTAACAATTCCCATTATGGGTATTCGCAATCTTAGACCCTCGTATCACTACACCACTGTACACTCCAACTTGCTCACTCACAACCACCATCACCTAAAAAAAAGATGGTATCAATGAGACATTTGAGCATTTGACCGCTCGTATTCAATGCCTAATGCCGTAGAATATTCCCACGTGCACTTCTTATCGCTTAACTTACCGCCTCTACAGGCTACGATCAACACTCACATCACCACCAACGCTGCCCAACATCTCCGCCGGTATCAACAAAGAGGACAAGAGATCAACAGATCCTTGCACCAAAAACAAACGGGCTCTCAGAAGCGGCCCCCACTTGAAGCTTCCATCAGGCATCTGATCGACGTCATGGCAAGAGAGTAGCTTGGCTTGGCCCGCTCACAAGCGCCGCTTGCTTTCGCCCGTGAGTCGAAAATCCTAATCCCCTTGAGGGTCAGGGTCAAGACACAAAGGTCAGAGCGAGAGACGCAGCCAGTCAAACGCCAGACCCTTGAAAAAAAGGGCAAAAAGACCCCTTCTCCCTCTGAGGAAAAGTCCGTCATCGTCACATCACCCCTCGGAAGCGTTGGAGGCGAAACTGTCCACGATCGTCGATCGACGCTCGCCCCTCTTTGCTCTCTCTCTTTTCTTCTTTAGGTCCTGGTCAAACTGGTGCAACATCCTTCTCCGTGGTGGTGCCATATCGACGCTCTTCAGGGTACTACGAAAGGGTATCTCGGATATCACTCTGTCTTGGCGTAAACGGTGGTTCGGCAAGCTGCACTTTCTTGGCTTTGTGTTGCCAATGCCAATGTCCGTGGTGATTACACAGCATGAATCCTACAGTGACTGCCCGTTGACTGTCCATTGGTTAAGCAAGTTTCACTCCTGCCGGCGGCCATTGGTAGATCTAGCCACCCATCTCATAAGCCATGTTGCACGCCGTACGGGAGGCTGCCGTAGATGGTTGCACCAATAAGTGTGATATTCTCGATTCAGTTGATAGCGATAAATTTTGAGTTCGATGCAGATATTAGTGTTTCAGGAACAAGCAGTCTTCGTCGGAAAAGGAAAAGTAAGGAAACACAGAAAAAAACATGGTATCAAAAGTCGTGCCAACATCTCATCTCGTCTCATCCATTCCCATCGCAGCATACGGACACACAAAACACGTACAAACGCGCGCACGCACACACACACACACACACATACACACAAACAGCCCGGCCTGCAGGCCTCCCTTCCCATTACCGTTCCATTACCATTGCCGAATATCTCCGTCGCGAGTTGCATTTGTGTATCCAATATGCAACCACCCTCAACATGTCCGTCTCTTTCTGAGGGGGGTTGATGCGCCCGTTTATGTCTGATCAGACATGAGCGCGGCCAGTAAATTTGGATCGGTTGTCCCTGTGCTTCCACCAGTAGCCCAGGGCCGCCAAGGTAGCAATCAGCCAGAGCAGGGCGCTGGCGAGATCGACCCAGACCGCGTTCTTCATGCGCTTGACACCACCGTCACCCTCGGCGTCCTCATTGATGTACATCTGCAGGTTTCACAAATGTCAGCCAAACAATGCCGCCGATTGTTTGCAGTAAGCACTTGACGACAGATAGAACGTACCTTGCCAAAGACGCCAAAGAGGGCGATCCAGAGGACGAATAGAATGAAGTCCCATATCGCGACAACAAAGCCGGCGACACGCAGTACAAACGGGATAAAGTAGAGTACACACGTCACGGCAGAGATGCTGCCAACAACCACGGCGTAGACCTGTGCATTGAACTTTTGTCAGCACTGTATTGTACTGCATTGCATTGTAACAATGTGCATTTGCACGTTGACGAACGGAGGGAGCAAGTCACTCACCCACTTAGAATCAGAGTATTTGCCCTGCTTGTTCGCATTATGAAGGTCGGTACCATACAAACCGATAGTGGTCAGAGCCAGAGCGAATAGGAAGAAGTGGACGGTGGAAAACACCACATAGCTGATAGCTAGATCCTTGATACCCATGGTCGCTTTGCTTGCTTTGGTTTGCTTTGGTTTGCTGTATGTCGGCAATTCGAACGGGAATTCGCAAAGGGGGTGGATATTACGAGAAAAGGTTGACGAGATGAGGTTATCGTCGGTCGGAGCGGGTCAGTGATTGATTGATCGCAGATCCAGACGTAAAGGAAAGAGGATCGCAGGTTTATTAGGATGAGTCAAGAAAATGAGCTGGCCACTGAAGCGTCACTTTGACTGGGCGTGCAAAATTGTCAAGCTTGGCGAAAACTCGCTCGTTCGTAGGGTAGACCGCCAGTTAATTAATAGGTAGGTAGCGTAGCGAAGGGAAGCCTCTGCCGTCATTCCTGCGACCTAAGAAGCGAGATCGACCTAAAACTCAACAGAATCTAATTTCACCCTTGGAAATTGTCGTGATTCACTGATATGACCCTATGACGTAGTGCAAAGCAAGCTTGTTTTAGTCGCTGCATGACCCCTGACTCTGACATCTAGACCCTGAGTCTCTGTTCTAGAGGCTCCGGATTATCGAACTTCCGCTTTTAGCTGCCGCCTTGTGATCCCTTCAATCAAGGAAGAGAAAGTCATGCAGAGCTGAAAATTGCTAGCGGATGAGTTGTTAAAGTTTATCAGTTTAGCGGGTGATTTCCAACCTTGAGTTTGGGACTTTTTTTCAAAGCTCAAAGTTCAACGTCAACGTCAACGTCAACACTTCCAACAGTTCTCATCTTACATCACTATCACGACCGCCCTATAATTGTCGCCCCGTAAACAAAAACGGAATTCGGCCTGGGGGGTTCAAGAATGTGCATCGTTGAAAATGCAAATGCTTGAGATCAGGTGTTCTCGAGAAACTAGTGCTGATAAAAGAAGAGTTCTCGAAGTTTTGAGGTCATGATATTTGATTGAGGCTTACCAAGTTAGTCAGCCAATTTAATGGCGCGCATGACAATTTCAAGCGTGACTTTTTGAGATTCACATAATGAGACAAGTGGGAAATAAACTTGACTTGAAAATCACATGTTGGTAAGAATGGCATGTGAGTTGACTAGGCTAATCTCCATGAGAAGTTCAGTTGTTGATGCGGTTTTGGGAAGTCGGTGAGAAATACGAGACGAGAGTGTGAGGTTGGTTGATTGGTTTTGATAAGCTCCAACCATCTCACTCATGACAAGAGCGTCTCCACTGTTGGCGAGGATAAACATCGCTGCCTGAGTCAATCGAATAAGCTTATCACCTTGATAGTTTACGAGGCTATGCTAAATGTCTTGGTAAATTGTTGTCTCGATTACCAGTATGAGTTCAATGTGAAAGTTGAAAGTGCTGTTTGAGAATAGGGTAGGCTTGCTTCACCCAAAACCCCGGATTCATCCAGGAACATGTGTAGCATCATCGTTCTTGGCTGCAGATGCCTCGAGTAGTACCGCGTTTCCGGCAAACACTAAAACCAATAACGAGGAACAGAACCCCCGAGGTGTGAGGGAAGACACGACGTTGAAATGCTCATATTGGCATTGCCATTATCACTCCAACCCTCGCTTCTGAGGAGTTTAGAGACGGGACTAATACTGGTATACTCATACCTAAAACGGCGAGTAAAATGGGACGTCATTGGTCACAAAGCCACATGGTAGGCAGGGAACAGGCCGGGGCGGTGTCGTTTCAATTGACTCAGCCTACCAGCCAATTCATTGAGTCACATGAAAGATTTTGAGCCGCACGCAGAGCCTCAACATTGAATTGGGGAACGGCTCTGCAGGGAGGCCAGTGAACACGAGGCGAGTTAGGGTGATATAATGAATTAAATGCCGTATTACTCCCTATAGTATTGCCTAGTTGTAGCTGCATGCTGTTGGGGCACAGTCTAGTTTCCAGCATCGCCTCGCATACGAGACGAGACTCCATCTTAAACAAGACTCCAGACTGATTCATAGTCGCTGCCTTCACCTAACAAACGAATCGAGTGTTTCGAATTCGCGAAGAACAATGAGCCTAAAGCTTCCAGAAACAGGGCTATGCTCAATCACCCTAGAGTAGCCCCCTGAGGCATCACCCTTTCATCCCGTCTCCTTCGCTTCCTAGCCAAACAATGACCATTGCAAACCTGTTCCGTACTCCCACTGACAGGATGGAAACTCGCTTTCAAGCAGATAATCATCGCAGCTATAGCCCAAATGGTGGCACTGCTATCGCCTCGAACTTTGATCCTTGTTATTCACTGACTTGGACTTCATCTCGTGTGATTTGTGCCAACTACAATGGACTTGTTACTAGATGGAGTTCGTAACTCACAGGCCCCTCGATCATGTACGCCTTGGACAGAACTGTCAGTATTTTCCTATATAATAGACATCTGCACATCTCTGATCATGATACCAATACACTTGGCCACTCACCAATACTCATAACACAAAAGCACACCTCGTGTCTAAGGATACCAACACTATATCTCTAACTCTACTACTCAACTCTACTACTCAACCAACCCAACAATACCATCAATCATGGCTGCTATGAACTTGTAAGTCGATAACATTCACTTTCACTACCAACATAAGTAGCCCCTAATCACTTCCAGCGCCTCTTCCGCCTGCTCTGCTGGCAACCGTGGACAGCTTGCCAACGATATGTCAGTCTCCAGATGGCAATGCGTAAGTAGTTTGAAGCTGGTGATCTATACGGAGATGTACTGACATTTTCAGTGCAACTGCAGCTGCGGCTGGCAGAGTATCGTGAACAACCCTTTGTGCCCCGATTGCGGATTCCGTCGTTGCGACGCCTGCACCTACTGTTAAGATCCAAGACATCAGACCCAGGACAATTTTGACCCTGGTGTCTTATCTTTCGCTTCTTGCAGACTGGTTCAGCTTGTATTACTAGGAGATGTGGATGGCCTAGATGTTTGGAGTTGGAGGACGTTTGTCTTGGGCTTTTTGCACAAAATACCTGGTCTTTCAAACGCTTAGAATCTTAGAAGGGGGGCTCACGCTTGATTTGATTTGATTCCTTTGTTTAGCATAGAAAATCCAACTACTTACGCTCTTTTACAACATGGCCTCCAAAGTGACTCTTCATTGCGGGCCTACCAGTTCTAAGTCTATGTGATTGTCGGCATCGACAAACTTGTAACTTTCAATTTGAGACAAACTTTAGCCCAAACTTACATGTCTAAACAACAAATGGACAATCTTTGAACCAAAACATGATTTTAGTTGCAGGAGGTTCTAGATTTGGCAGTGACTTATACCCGTCTCTGGACCGAGGCATGATTGATGACGCCCCACCTCCACCAACATTAACCGCCATATGTGAACTGACTCTCATATTTACAAGGCCAGCCTTGGGTCATCACTGCAATAATAACTCTACCTGTAATATATTTCAGCAGAAGATATCACTACTTTACCACATTCAGCCATGGCAGATCTCGGCCCTCCTTTCCATCCCATCGCTGGCATTGCAAACTTCCGGGATCTCGGCGGTCATCCGCTGCCTATTAAGTCCCGCCCCGGGTACACAATCAGACCGGGCCTCATCTTCCGCTCCGCAGAACCATCCCGTCTCACCGAAGACGGCGTCTCGGCGCTACAGGACCTCAAGATCTCTCACGTCTACGACCTGCGCTCGCGAACTGAGATCGAGCGCTACGCTACAGGAACCCGAGAGTGGCCCGGCGCCCAACGGGTCTTTACTCCGGTCTTTCTAGACGAGGACTACGGCCCGGAAGCTATTGCTTTGCGCTTCCGAAATTATACCGCCGAAGGAAGTCAGGGATTTGTTGAGGCGTATCGAGGAATCTGGGAGACGGGAACGGATTCTATCAACACTATTCTCTCACATCTTGCCAAACCGGACCCTTCACCCCTACTCATCCACTGCACTGCGGGCAAGGATAGAACTGGTGTAGTCTGTGCCTTCATCCTGTCTATATGTGGCGTGGATGAAGGGACTATTGCTCATGAGTATGGTCTGACTGAGGTTGGCCTTGGTGACTTTCGAGAGGAGCTGCTTGCGGCTGTGATGAAGAGTCCTGAATTGAGAGCCAACCCTGAAGGCGCTCAACGATTACTAGGAGCCAAGCCCGAGAACATGCTTGCTGCTTTGGAAGCACTTCGTAAACAACATGGCTCTGTCGAGGACTATGTGGTCAAGAACTGTGGTCTCACAGAGGAGGACCTTGAGCAGATTCGGAAGAACTTGATCGTGCCCGAGGAGAGCAGGCAGTAGAGTCGATGAATTATGAACGAAGACCAGAAAGTTATGAACATCAATGTCAATGACACAATTTTAGCACCTTTATAGAGGAACCACATACAGAAATGCAAGCGCTATTCATCATCTCTGGACGAGCATACAGTCCATGTCTAATTAATACATGGCGTTGGTATTCGTATAGTACAGTTTCGCCACTCCATGTCCCATATATATTTATACACTTCAAGGCACCGACGTAGGAATCTTGACCAACCCACGCTTGCGGTCCTCGAACGGCGCACCATACCGCCAGCCAGTACCTTTCCTTGATCGACCATCACGACCAACATCATCAACGTTAATCTCCTTAAATCTGAACTCGTAGCGATCTGTCTTGACGCGCTTCGTTCGCGCTTCCTCACGCTTACGCTCGTCCAGGATCTTCCTGGCTACTTTGTCCTCGTGTGCTTGTGTGATTGCTTGGAACTTGGCTACTGCCTCTGGCCGTGCAGTGCCCTTGATGATGTCTTGCTCCATCTTGATGAGCTCGGGTTGAGGTGATCGCTGGTCGGCGGAGAGCATCTTGTCGTGGAAGGCCTTGGCGGCATCTTCTCTTGTGAAGTGTCGGGATTCAGACACTGGTGTAAATAGTTGTTGTAGGGTAAGGTTGTGTACGTGAATCTCGTTGATAGGCTCGTGAGGAATGTTCTCCTCGCCTTCATTGTAATGTGTTTTGGGTAGCATCTTCATAACTGCCTTGGCATATGGTGTTGCTAATTGCTTGCCCTTGAGGTTGGTCAGCATTGCTTTCGGAA